GTTCCAAATAGTGGCTATGGGGAAGAACGCTTTATGCCATCATGATCAGCTCGTCGAACTCTACTAACCAGGATGTGTCTCATTGAAAAGTGAGAGTGGCACTTGGAGACCTTCCCTCGTAAGCGTAGGAGATCTCATTCGTTCATTCTACCTGGGAACAAAAGATAAGATTTTGGCAGTTATTAAGCTCAGAGTATCCAGTGTGAGGTTTTAATATTCAAAAAAGAGTTGTAAGTTGTTTCATTGCTATAGAAGGATTTTGCAGACCGTTATTTATTTTATAGATGAAAGAGTCAGTTCTTAGGCTGACAACAGCTGATTAAAATTCTGATCTGAATTGATCAGAGGTAACAATCTTGCAAGAAATACGATATGAGTAGTGATATATCAGAACTGTTGTAAGAAGCGCTACCAAAAACAACTTCATTTATTTCTTTTATTTACCACTTGGTCCGCTAAATTTGCTATCGAAATGAAATATTTCGGTACGTTCTTTTATTTTTGTATTATGTTCCTTTCATAATTTTCGAATGGTGATTTTAACTAAATACAAATAACCACCATAGATTTATATTTTCTGAACGAAAGATCTTGTAGAGTGTGTGTACATGTAAAAATCTTCAGTACACTTTTGTCTTTAATTTGAGACGTCTCAGAGCTATGCGCATCTTGTCGTTCCAAATTTATAAGAAAACAAAATGCCAAAGAAAAAACACCTAACAAAAGTTCACTCCAGTAGTACAGTCAACTGGTCAAGTCATTTATTTATTTAAATTGTTATTATTGATCATGTATTCGGTTAAGATGATATCGATAAACATCTCAAACCTTAAGAGAAATAATCACCCGTTGATACATGCGCCATTTTTATTTATTTTTTCTCCTTGTTTACATGGACGTATTGAAGGTCTAAATAGTCGAAAGGAAAATTTTTCAACAAAGATAGCTTGAAAGTTTTTTATTTAAGAATCTTTGATGATAATGAATCAAAAATTGTCAAAGACTTACAAGGGTTATTTTATCGAGGCTCTCGGGGGGGGCAGTAGTTTTAAAAATCGGAGAAACTGTTTAAAAATTTTTCGAGTCGACAGTTTTTTGTACAAATGTTTGTTCTACAAAATAAGACATTGTCGACTTTCTCACGACGGTTGGTCGATGAGATACAATGGTTTTACGTGAAAAATCGAGCGGTTACTAGAAAAAAATTCATATCTCATCGATGAACCATCGTGAGAAAGTCTACAATGTCTTATTTTGTAGAACAAACATTTGTGCACAAAACTGTCGACTCGAAAAAATTTTAAAAAGTTTCTCCGATTTTTAAAACTACTGCGGCCAAGAGCTCCGATAAAATAACCGTTGCATGCCTAATTGTATAATAACGAGTAATAGTTATATTATTATTGTTATTTGTTGTTGTTATTACTCTATTTCTATTATTTGTTTAGTATTTTCTTGCTGTTTCCAGTTCTTGAAAATTTCCGAAGCAGCATATTTCATACCTGGACGAAAACGTTTTGCCAAATTTGAAGTAGTACTCAGAATTGTTTTACCAGCGTTGGGATTTAACACATATTATTTCGAAGTAAACGGTAATTATGATATGATACTTCGTGTAAAAGAAAAAGAGACTAAGGTTTATTGTTGAATCTGCTTTTGCGACGTATTTAGCTGAAAAAGAATCATTACTTTTACAATAGCTGAAGACACCGAAATATCAAAAAATAATGCATGTATCCTGCAAAATCAAGTAAGTTTGGCTAGAAATTTGTTAACAGCCAGCTTTTACGCTGTTGAATGATTATATTTTTAGAGGGTTCGTGTTGATTATGATGATACCTGAAACTAAATCAGATCAGACAAATTTGGACAAAAGTATCACTGGTCCGATGAAACAGTACTTTTTTATTATAGCCCATTGCGGCAATTTTTAAAGAAATGTGCCAATTTTTTTTTAATGTAAAAATCAATTTTTTTGAAAAAAAAGCCTATTTAAATTCACTTTTTAAAATTCTTTTAGAAAAATCTATTTAAATTCATTTTATTTTTATCTGGAGAAAAAAGAAATTTAAGTCAACCTTTTACAAAACTAAAACCAAATTCATTGAGATAGTAATGTATTTAAATAGATTTTTCGCACGAAGAGTTAGGCAGAATGAATTTAAATGAATTTTTTTAAAATTAATTTCAACCGACTTTTCATACAAAAATAAAATAGATTTACACATGTTGGACCAACAAATCTATTTGATGTCATTTCTGCATGAAAAATCTGTTTAAATTAGTTTTTTAACCCTTTGATTCCGGGCGTCTCGTATACGAGACGCCCGGAATCAAAGGGTTAATAAGAAACTGGAATGAATGAATAAAAGAATCATTAAGGTTTTTTGAATGGTATTTAAGTTTTATTTTATGTGATAATACATTTAATTTAATAATTAGACGATAAGACCCTATAAATTTTAAATTTTATTTTAATTGGGGTAATTTTATTGATTTAATAATTATTATTTTATAATTACTTTAGGGTTAACAGGATAATAAAATTATTAAGATCGTATTATTACCTCGATGTTGGATCATTAATCGAAATTAAGTAGATTTTTTTGTTATTAGTCTGTTAGACTATATAATTTTAAGTGATCTGAGTTTAGACCGGTGTGAACTAGGTTAGATTTTATCTTTTTATTTTAATATGTAGTACGAAAGGAAGTATGTTATTTTTATGATAATGTTTAGTGAATTTAGAGTTCATTTTTTGTTATTAATAATTGTTTGAATTTATATATCTACTTATTATTTTCCTTATATAATAAGTTCTTTAAGTTTAGTTTGTATTGTTTTGTTTATAGTAGTTTTTTTTTGCTAAAATAGTTTTATTTTTAAAGTATTTATTAGTTATAATTTATTTAAGTGGTATTGTAGTTTCTGTTCTTTATATTTCTTGTTCTTTAGTTGATTTTAATTGAGGTAAGATTAATATTTGTGTTTTATTTCTTTTTTTTTGCTGTCTTTTGATGTTTATGACTTAGGTTTTTTTGAGGGTTATATAGTTAATTTAAGAGTAGATTCTTTTTATATTTTATTTTTGTAGCTTATGTATTTTACATAGTGGTTATATCTACTTCTATATATTTATATAAGTCTTCTGGTTCTTTACGTATTTAGATTTGTTTTAGATAATTTGCGTTTATTAGTTTTTAAACCATTGTTTCAAAATAAGGTTTTTTGTTTTTTTGTGGTTAATTTTGTTTAATTTTTTGTTAATTAATTTTTATTAATAAGAATTAAGTTTTATAATGCTAATTTGTCGTATTAGAGTTTTATTTTTAATGTTAGTTTTATTTTATTTTAATTTTTTGTTTTGGTTTTTTGTTAAGGGTGTAGTATTGTTAAGTAATAATAATTTAGTTTTTTTTTATATTTAGTATTTTATTGGTTTTAATTTTTTTCTTTACTTCTTTAAGTTTAAGTGGTTTTAATAAGATTATTTTTGAGTGAGTTTTGAGTATTTTTAGAAAAATCTATTTAAATTCATTTTTAAAAAATTCATTTATATTCATTCTGCCTAACTCTGCGTGCGAAAAATCTATTTAAATACATTACTATCTCAATGAATTTGGTTTTAGTTTTGTAAAAGGTTGATTTAAATTTCTTTTTTCTCCAGATAAAAATAAAATGAATTTTAATAGATTTTTCGCGAAAAGTTACGCAGAATGAATATAAATGAATTTTTTAAAAATGAATTTAAATAGATTTTTCTAAAAGAATTTTAAAAAGTGAATTTAAATAGGCTTTTTTTCCAAAAAAATTGATTTTCGCATTAAAAAAATAATAAATACAAGAATTCTTTAAAAATGGCCGCAATGGAAAAGATCTTTATCAGTATTACTTAGCTTTTATCATTCTTGTAAATACTCGTTTATTTATAGCCTTTACTGGAAATAAGTCAGAATCCGAATTTGAAGCATCGGGTGCTTACATTTTTCGTCCTCAAAGTGAAGATTCATATTCTGGTAGTGATACACGTACAATAACTTGTGTGAAAACTGAAATTGTTCAAACAGCACAAATGTGCCAGAAAAACACATTTAAAGCGAATGTATGCTACATGAAAAGAAAGATGACGCTTCGTAGCACAAGAACATACATTTTGATTCCACTTTTGTACATGGTAACGTGTTCAAAATATCTTTTTTTGTTGTGCTTTGAGTTGGAAAGTAATGAAGATTGAAATTTCATCTACATTCATTCAGTTTTAGTGTATGTTAATTCAATACATTTTTTGTAGAAAATAGAACGGCGAACCTTCTAAAAGAAGAAATAACTGTTTCTTCAAAGAAGAAAAGGTTATAATCAAAAGACTGAGAGACTCATTTATTCTGCAGCACCCGCTAGTATGGTTCGCTTCAACAGCTCAAAGGAAGAAGAGTATTCTTAATAACTATATCTGTGCATGTTAATTTCTTTGCTCGCGTCCATTAGATCTGTGGAAGCTCGAATACACTCTCATTTAACAATAAAAAGTGATACAAATGTTTCTTCCGCCTATAAGAAATTAAAACACAATTTTGAACTGCCTTGGATAGGTGTCTCCATACTTAAGCTTGAACGTTTCAGGATACAGTCCCAAGAAAGTAATAGTAAAAACAATTGCTGACATTTTAGCGAAAGCCACAATGCGGGGAGCCAGACCGTTGTGGTCTATATATTGTGGTATAAATGAAATGGGAAAAGCTATAAAAATTTATATCGATGAATGAAAAATAACAGAAACGAAAGAGAAATTAAATATGTATATACATATGTCAGGTAGTAGAGCACTGTTTAAACTGTCTGAAGAGAATAGAATATAGCAAAAAATACAGTTTCAATTCAAATAAATTTTTGTTCCATTACTTGACTAAGATAGCTCAATATTCTCCTCTTCAGACAGTTTAAACAGTGCTCTACTACCTGACATATGTATATACGTATTTACTTTCTCTTTTATTCTGTTATCGATCGGTCGCCTCGATTAGACTTCTGTTAGTCGGTGTTCTTGTATTTTGCTAATACCTTAAGAGAGAGGGTATGTACAACAATCAAGCATCTTTTTAGGAAAGAACAAGAACAAGAACAAATTAGTTTTGTTTGTTTGTTATTATTTAAGATTAGCTGAACGAATCATACCAATTGGAATATTAGTACTCAATCGCCAATTTAATTAGATTTCCGTATCCAATCTGTGTTTCACGTTGGGTTTGATTGATCGGACGATCTGTCGCCTAACATTGGGAGCAACGGAATTAAAAAATTTATGCTGGATTGTTTGTTGTACGTTAGCCAATTGAGTATTTTATAATGCGACGTCAATTTTGTTTATTATGTATGAAACAAGACAAAATAGCCAAGTCGAATTACTACACAGTTTCCAGTATCGCTGTAGAACGTAAACTGACACAAACCTACGAATCTTTACACCATAAAAAATTATCACACGCGTTGTTAAATGAACAAGTACACAAAACATGCTACGACAAATATCGTAGTCGTTATCACAATTCTCAAATATCAGTACGTGCGTCGTCGTTATTCAGCAATCCGAATACAAGAATACCGTTACCAAATAGTATGAATAATACATCACCAACACCCTTATTGACGGAAACATCAAATGGATCATTACTTACGATCGACGGCAAACGCCAGATTCGAACGTTATCATCAATAACATGGGTACCAGCGGAAACAGTTGATCAACGATTAAAACTAACAGATGAAATTGACACATATAATTTAACATCGTTGACAAATCCGAAAGATTCACCTTTGTTCATGAGATATTGTGATAGAAAGGTAGTTTCAAGACTAAGAAACTTTTAGCAAATAACGGGTGCTTCAGAATAAATGAGCCTCTCAGTAGTTTGACTATAACTTTTTCTTCTTTAAGGATACAGAGTTATTTCTTTTGTTTAAAGGTTCGCCGTACACGATTTCTCTCTATTTTAGGCGAGTTTAAAGAGAAGAAGTACAGCCAAGCGTAAATTGGACTATGAACAAGACAATCTATTAGTATTATCAACACCGACAAGAACAACAAATAGTCTGTATAGTAACGATATGTTAGCAACAAGACAAAGTCGGTTGCAAGAACGTACAACAAGCAGTCCCAGCATAAAATCAAAGTTTAGAAAAAATTTATATAAACAGAGAGTGGTATGTAACAAACTAGGAGAAGAACCATCTGTACACGCAGTGATTTTTTTACTTGTAGTGTTCAGCCGATCGTCGCCGTTGCTCTCATCATAACAACTCACAAATATCTATTGATCGTAGCACGTTTACGTACCTTTCAAATGACATACAAAAATCATCCTTGTACCCAGATGGGTTTGAAGAAATGTGTGGATGGCTCGAAGATACATTAAGAACAGGTGCTTTAATCTCACTAACCAAAATTCAAGAGATATTCCAACATCTATCACAGCATCGAAATGAACCATTATCACAATCAACACTTCGGACAACATCTATTCGTGAGCGACTCAATCAGAGGTATGGTGATAAACTACATTTCACAAAATTAAGCAAACGAGGTGGAATGTATGTGTGTTTAAACGATTTATCCTATCATGCACTTTTGGCATTAAAAAATTCGTCGTCAGATAGTATTACTCACAATACATATCGTCCCATTCTCAATCACATTAGTGCCGAAGAAAAACAGAGAAAATGTGAAATTTTATTCGATGCTGTCCAGATACTACGACAAACAGTCAACGACAACTATCATTTTTTTAAGAAATTAAAAGAAGACCGTCAAAAATTAGCTGCTTTCACTTCGAATTTATATTGGGATTGTGCACCAACATTACTAAAAAATATAATTGGCATGTTAACTAGCAACGATGTACAGTTTCAAAATTTTAAACGTGAATACGCTACGCTACATACAACATTTTCGACAACGACATTTATCGATCGTCTAAGAAATCGTTAAAAATATCGTCCATTGTTTACGATATCATCAACTGTCGAAACAACGAATACCTAACGCCCAAACATTATTTCCTCGGAAATGAAATCTTTCGATGTAAGTTATTAATATAACATCTTTTTTTCCAATAATTTTATCTTGCCAGAGGCGCCAAAGAGAAGATACTCGAAAAACGGGAGAAAGCAAAATTTTCTCGAAAGTAATGACTAAACAAAACGAAACAGAAGAATATAGAAACAATATTAGCAATAATATTTTTCATCGATTTTCCAAGCCCAAATCTGACTTTTTGTCAGTAAGTCAGCGAAAGCTCGTAGAAGCACAATCTTCTCTATATGTCATCAACACTGTTCCTCGATTCCGTTTTGTGCCGTTTTAATTAATATCGTTTTTCCTTCGTTTCATTGAAACTTTGTGTGCTCATTTTTATCATTTGTGTGAATGTTTTAGATGGACGATCATCACAATTGATGGAGATAATGAATCGATTTGGCCATAGCTGTTCGTACAAAGCTATCGTACGGTTACATCAAGAAGCAGCCGATATAGTGGCCAATTCACCATCATCATCATTACCATCAAATACACAACAGCAACAGCAGTTTATAGTAAAAGTCGCTGACAATTTTGATTTAAACAAGGATAGTTTACATGGTGAAAACAGTATCCATATTTTGAATCAAATCCTCGTTCAAACGTCGGAAAACGATGAATTATTTATAGATGTATCAAAATGTTTAAACCAACTTTGTGATAATATTGTAAACCTAGATTCAAGAAACTCAACAACTTCGTTTCTCATACCATCAACAAAAACTACTACGTCATCAGCAAGAAAACAATATGCACCATATGAACCGTTTGTCGACGACTCGTATAAAACAATATTGTTAGCCTATGGTGTATCGAAACTGGCATGTGATCATAGCAGTAATTTGACAACAGTTTTCAGTGGTCCAAAACACGTTTTACCGTTACTGGCTGGGTTTTGTGCAACCTATCTACAACATGTTCAACGGCCGTTGCATACGGTGTCATTTTGCATACCGATTAATGCAGATCCAACTTCACTACCAACAGCCGAATTATGTCTTCGAACAACAAAATCCTCAATCCTCGATTCAAATTATCAACAAGAAGCCGTGGTTGTGGTGGACGAAAAAATTTATCGTAACTGTATTAAGGTATCCCTTGATTTTCCTTTCTGCGGAAAATATGTTTTTAAAAAATGTTTTTTGTGTACTTTTAGGCAAAAGGGCTCAACTCTATCGAATTTGAAGACATAACAATTTATGCTGGTGATTTCCACTTAATGAAAAATTTTCAAATTGTTATTTGGGATGTTCTAACCGGTTCAGGTATCGAGGACGTTTTGGGCTGTATTTACAAAGGTGCATCGTTAAAATCAATATGGAATGTGCATCATTTTAACAAAAGCTTGCGTTGCTGCAAGCTATTGTATACGGCCTTATCGATATTATTTCTTCGATCGTTCTGCGAAGCCCTACTAACCACGGCCACGTCATCATCATTATCTCCTTCCATCATCAACATATTACAGGAAACAATAACTGAAATTCCATCCGAATATGCCATCGATGATATAAAACAAAAATGGTTCAATCGTTTATTAAACAGCATTGATAAATTACGATTATCATCGTTGGTCGACGAATGGGCAAAAGATAACTGTCAAAAAAATGTGACATTCAAATTTTGGTGTTTTATTTTGCACTATTTGTTGCAACCATTAATCACAATGTACATGTCTATACGAATGTCAAATTTTGAAGGTATGTTGTCGTCGATTGCTCTTGGAAATTAATTTTTTCTGATCGCTTTTCTTTCAATTTCAGGTCGAAATGCATCATTGTGTCAAATGGCACCCATATTCTTCGCCACAAATCATCGAAACTACGCCCGTCTGAGCGCACGACATTTGATCAATCTTCGTGCAAGTTCTGGATACATACAGCAACGATTAAAAAAATCCTTTGCCGTCAACCGTACCAACCGTCCGTTTTCGTTCATAGCACTTGATCAAACGATTGAATGTTCCATTAACAAATTTGGTAAATCCTATGGTGAGTTTTAATGACTATGGGGAGAATGCACGGATAATTTTCAAGAAACTAATTTTCAACTGCGAATTGTAGAGATTTCGCATGAGATCGATTTGGTAGACTCATTACGAGTTTTTCAGTGATAATAAAAAGCAAATCCGAGAGTTCGGAATAGCGTTTAAGCGGAGTTTCAGACTGAGCTTTCAGCACAGCAGATTAAAGCAGTAAAAATTGAATCAAAATTGCGAAATTACGGAAAATAATAGAACTTCGCTTAAATACTATTTGGAACTCTTAGATTAACTTTTTATTGTCACTTAAAAACTCGTAATGAATCGATTAAATCGATCTCATGCAATATCTATCCACTTCGAACCTGAAAACTATTTTCTTGAAAATTCTGCTAGTCCGCGTATCTCCGATAGCCTCTAAAAAGCCCGTTCATTTGCACAGTTTAACTTGAGCAAACCCATACATCTGTTCAACTTTTTACGCTCTTTCAAATTTGAAACGACTATTTGAATGAGCATCGTCTAAAACCCTTAAGTACCAGGTCTCAAAAAATTTCCTTCAGAGCTTTAGAAGATACTTTTCTCGCACAAAACACTCATTCCACCTCAAAATGTTTTTGTGCTGTTACTTATTTTAGGTGGTATAACTGGAAAATTCAATCCCCAATTGATCGATATTTGGGTCCAGTCGTTCGCTTATCGTTCTTTAATGACATCGATCACCCACGAAATCGCAGGGTTAGAAACAAGAAACAACACCATCGATGCTCATGTAGAATGTGCACCCCAACGAATAATCAATGATGACAAAGATTTAACAGCAATTATTTTGAAGTTAAAAGATGAAAAACTGTTTACCATCGAAAATCAGCATTGTCGAAAAATATTATCGGGGTTGATAATCCACAATGATATTATCGACAATATATGCAGCTCGTATGAACGTGGATTAAAGGCAATGTCAACTTACATTCAAGAACGTTATATTGATTGTAACATTCACGTCGATGAGCGATTATCAGCAATGAAGCGGTTGAAACTAGTTGATGCTGCTACGTATTCACCGGGTAATATATTAAAACGATTATCAATGAAGAAAAACAATGAATGCGCAACGAATCAATTTGTCAAAGCAGCCGATGAGCAGATACGAAAAATTATCGTGTTATCTGAATTCAGAGTAATTTCTTTTTTATTCCCTTTTGTCTGAAATTTTTTGGGAAAATTATTCATTGTTTTTTCTTTGTAGGAATTGCGATTAGACTCATTATTTTCGTTCGAATTTTCACCGGCACCGTTTTCATTATGTGACAGCCAAAATATTAATTTTTTCAACCAACAGAAGAAATCGTCAATAGTGGATTATTTCAAAGAACAGTTTCCAACAGCTTTTTCAACAACGGAGTCAACAATAACAAATAACAGCAATTATGCATCAATTATCGATGGTGGTAGTTTATTGGAGATTAAACCATTAACAGCTAACTGTACCGTCTACGATTATGCTAAACAACTATTCGAGAAAACGATTCTTCCGCAATTCAAATCATTTTACCGAATAGACATCATCTTCGATTCAGCCAAGAGCAGAAGTGTCAAATCGTTCACCAAACGTCATGGTAACGATGATAACTCACAAGAAAAATATGATTTAAAAATCGACGACATACTCGAAACGCGATATCATCATTTCGTTCATAAAAATCGCGCAGCGTTAGCTCAACGCCTACGAGATTGTTGGTGTCAACCTACTTTATTTGAATTAATTCCAAATAACAAAATAGTGGTGGTTGCTGGCCCGGATACAGAGGCAGTGGCATTAAAGAAAAACAAAATGCCATTAACGAAAGAATTATTGGAATCCGAACATGTTGAAGCCGATACAAGGCTCTTCCTACACGTTTATGATATAAGAGCCGACGAAGAGGATCATGATCGTCGTTGCGATGGGATTCTGGTACAAGCAGCCGATACAGACATAATTTTATTATCGATTGCATTTTCAAAGTTAATTAAAATTATGCAAATACCAAATTTTGTTATCAAATCATTTAATACTTGCACAAAAACGCACACGTTCATTGATATTACAAAAATTGGTAAACAACTACTCGATCGGATACAGATAAAACCGAGCGTATTATTAGTACTGCATGGTTTATCCGGTTGCGACTCGACGTCGTTCATTAAAAATATCACGAAAATCAATTTTTTTCGTACCTATTTCAACAATCCACAGCTATATAAACAGCTGATTGATTTTGGTGAAAGCACAACAGTAATACAACAACCATTGGAAGCTGCTGAACAATTATTAATATCATGTTACACAAATAAAAATGCTGGAGTTGGTTCAAAATCGTCATTAGAAACGACGACACAACAATTCACATCCTTGGATCAATTAAGAAAATCCATGGCCATTACATTTTTTAAGCAAAAAACAAAGAAAAGTATTGCATTGGATCTACTTCCGACCACTGATGCCTTTTATTTACATTGTGAACGAGCATGGAAGCAAGTTTATATATGGAAAAATTCATTCGAACCTTATCTCGTTGAAATGCCAGAAGAACAATATGGCTACGAAAAAGTGAATGATCAGATATCAATAAAATGGAGATCGAAGCCTCCAATGCCAGCTAATGTATCATTGTCAACATGTGGTAAATGTGTATCAGGATGTAAACGTTGTAAATGTGGTTCAAATGGCCTGCGCTGCACAATCTACTGTCAATGTTCGCGTGATAAATGTACAAATGGTTCAAATATTCAAGTAAGACATCTTTCTATTTCAGATTTTCAGCCCGTCTTCAATACTCTTCTTTTTCATTTTCTTTTCATAGACGGTGCAGCATGTACAATCAATATCAATCGATAGATTTTATGATGACGAAGAAGATGATGATGGTGATGATGATATTAGTGATGAGGAAGAGGAAGAGGAAGAGAAGGAAGAATTTATAAAAAACTTGTGTACCGCCTAAGTATTTCAACTATTGACCCATGCGGGCATATTTCTGAAAGACTTATTTATCACTCATTTTGAAGCTCGTGAAATTCTCTATTGAACAGCATATCTATCGTAGTGGCTAGTTGAGAAATGTTGCCCACAGGATCCTCATCGTGGAATAAGCCACCTACTTTTCACAGCTTTCCAGACAGTATTTGTAATGTCAGAAAAAATGGATTGTTGCGCAGAATTTTTGAATTAGAAACTAGTTTTCCAGAGATACCCCGGAAAACCATTTTCAGAAATTTCTTGTAATGGGAAGTTATATTCTCGATGTCGATCTTTGCATAAAGTATTTCTAATGTCAGGGTGCCCTAGGACACTTTTTTCACTACGTTGTATATGTGAAATTGTAGCGCAGGAAATTGTCTATCAAATGGTATATGTATCGTCGTGGCTAGTGGACAAGTGTGGAGTACAGGATCGTCACCGTTGAAGAAAGAAGAGTGGAACTTTGGTTTCAGTAAATTCGACCTAGTTTTTTCTGAGAGCATTTCTAAGGTCTGCCGAGTGGCTAGAAATGTTCTCCTGTTCATTCTGCATCTAACCATGTATGTGTCGATGGAATTCAAGCAGGGGCCGATTTTATCAAGTAATCGCCCCCGAGCTTTACGCGCATTTGATTGAGAATCATGTCATATTTTCTTTCAATGTTTTTGAATCTCGGCCATTTATAGTAAGGAAAAAAATAATTGTTTATGGCAGAACGGAATTGTCTTAAAGCTGAAATTGTAGTGATAGTAGTAGGTAAGGCATTCCACTGCTTAATTGTCCATGGAAAGAATGTAGTTTCGAGCTTAACTTTATGGGTGTGGTATGCGTTCATGCGTTTATTAGAAGCAGATCGCAAAGTCACAGTTGTTGTTGCTACAGATCTTGGTATTCTATCAACTAGAAAAGGTGGAGTAAGGCCTCTGAATATTTTAAATAATAACAAAAGTTTGTGCGTCGCGAATAGATGTTCAGGTGATAGCCATCCTAGTATGTTGAAGACTTTATCTCGCGAACTGAGACGCATAGCACCACTAACAGTCAGTGCAGCATCGTACTGTAGTTTTGCAATTGGTTTTAAATAAGCTAATACAGTGGGCAAAGGAGTGTATGCAGTCTGAATCTCTCTCGCACATGCATAGATTACATCTGCATAACTTAACACTGGCAAAATATACGATTTGTAGATCTGGTCGAGTGTGGTCGTATTTAAAGTATTTTTGAAACAGCGCATTAGGTATAATGTATATTTCGATTTTTTTGTAACCTCGTATACATGCAAAGACCAGTCTAGCTTTGATGTTAAGTGCAAGCCCAGATGTTTATGCCGATCGACGTAGCGGATAACATTTCCATTCAATAACAGCTGAGGACGTGCAGAAACTTTGCCGAAAAACATAGCCACACACTTTTTTAAATTCAAGGGTAACTGCCAAAATTCGGTCCACTCTAAAACGTCTTTTAAATCTTGATTTAAAATATTTTCACTTA